GTTATCGGATCCAGTTTTTATCAACTTCGTCTACTGTCTAAAATCAGAGACTTTCTCACTCCAAAAACTCTACAAATGGCTGTTCATGCGTTTGTTACATCTCGGCTAGATTACTGCAATTCCTTATATTGCGGTATATCTAAATCTCAAAGTGCGCCTTCAGCTAGTCCAAAACGCTGCGGCCAAATTTCTTCTGAAGTGTCGCAAACATGAACACATCACTCCTATTCTCAGATCTCTACACTGGTTGCTGGTTCATCAAAGAATAGATTTCATAATTCTACTCTTTGTTTATAAATCTTTGCATAACCTAGCTCCTGTCTACCTCTCTGAACTCCTTCATTTATACACTCCATCTAGAAGCCTAAGATCTTGCGACCAGGCTTTGTTGGTAGTTCCACATGTTAGACTTAAGCGTAGAGGGGAGCGTGCATTTGCGGTGGCAGGACCACAGCTTTGGAATACCCTGCCTTTAGAAATTAGAATGGCCCCTTCTGTGCCTGTCTTTAAGTCCCTGCCAGAAACCTATCTGTTTTCCTTAGTGTATTGATTACTGTTATTCGGTCATTTTTTAATGGGTTGTTCATATTTTTTATTTGGCTTGCTTTCTGTGTATGTTTTTATAAATTTCTCTTCTGTAAAGCACTTTGGTCAGCCTAGCGGCTGCTGTAAATGTGCTATATGAATAAAATGAACTTGAACTTAATGTCTCGCCACTAACGAGGGTATAAAGGATAGGTGTAGTGGTTTAATTGATGATACCGTGTATCTGGGTGTCAAACACTGAAAATACCTATGTATGTTCATATTTCCTTTCTCATTGGACAAGCCCATCTTGAGAGGCGTGAATCTTCTCAGACCTTAAAGGCCTCACATCAGTGACCCGCCTCGCGTCTGGGGTTCGGTTAGATTCTAAGATGAGGACATGAGCTAGAACGCTTCTGCTTCTGTTTGAACTAAGAATCTGATGTTTCCTTCAGGTTGTAGATCTGCTGAATATCAAATGGTACCATAGCTTCATATTTGTATTTCTCTTCTCTTTACTGCTTAAGCTTTAACCCTTTTCCTATACCAACTGTATGAGCGTGTGTATGTGTATGTTTATGTAGTATGTTAGACTAGTTTAAGTGTTTATGTAGTTAATAAAGTCTTACTTGTATCACACTTGACGTTGTTCATTGTTTGCTCATAACTGGAGTCCTATACAAATAAAATGAACATAGAGTGTGAAGTGAATGAATGTAAACTTTATGAATGAAAAGAGCGCATATCAAACACCGCATTGCTGTTGCCTCTCTGTGCATCTCTCAGAAATCAGAGCTTGGCAAGAGTAATATCAACTAAAATAATACATCATACATGTTCTATTATTTGTGTATATTTAAAAGGCAGTGATTTAAACCTTAGGCTACGATATGATACACGAATGAATGGAATAAACACAGCGCGCTCACCAATCAAACAGCCACGGTGCGCATCTCAGTCTCTCAAAACCCAAACCAGCGGCTGGTTTGTGTGGCACACGCACATTTGTTTAGTGAAGTTAAAAAAAAAGACTTGCTTTACAGAATTCTGTGAAATGAAAATGTGCGCCTTGAATTAACTTAGTCATGTTAAAATGATCACTAAACATTTGTCATGACATCTCTCTGCTTGTATGATAAATTTATTTTTAGAAATTAATAATTATTTTAGTATATTTGTTCAGTGATAAAAAAAAGATAGTCACAACGGTACGAAGTTCCACCTGGTTTTATCCGAATACAGATACGAATAATTTTGTGATTGTTACAGATACAAATACGGCTGGGCAAGTTAACGCGTTATTATCGCATTAATTGATTAACGCCGACAATTATTTTATCACGTGTTAACGCAGTTTTTTAGTATTATGAAAGTCCGTTTTTCACTGACTCTGAATACACACACAGACAAACCATGGGTCACAGGAAGGGTGGGATGTTGATCAGAACTGGCTTGGGATGGGTGTCATCACACGTCTCAACCAATGAGAGCATAAGGGGTGGGCCTAAGACTGCAGCAGCACTCACATGAAGCGCTCACAACTTCATAAGTGGGAGATAGGAAGTTTCCGATAGCACGTGAAGACAGCAGAGAAGCACTCTCACTCAGCACAGTGGAGTGCATCGTTTTGTTAACTTTGTGGTTTATTATTTTGAGTCGCGGGACGTTTGGGATGCAGTAACACATGGCCCTCTCACAGTATATAGCACAGATCTATAGCTTTTGCTGCTCAGAAATGTTCACGCAATCTTTCTGCACATATCAGAAGTTCAGTGCTCCAACACTACATGTGCACCGCGCCCGAGCCCAAATGAACCGCGCTCTGGCCCACCTCTTCGAACCGAGCCAGGGCCGGCTAAACGAACCGTGCTCGAGTGTGGCAAGGAGCGATCACACTAGTCAAACAACCAGG